CGCTCGGCAGCATGCCCGATGTCGCGGTAACGGTTGTAATTCGCTGCGATGACCTGTCGGCGAATCTCCAATTTTAACCCTTCTGGGTACGCCTGGATTTTTTCGCCTTCGGTCAGGTCCGTGATGCGGTTGAACAGTAGCTCCATCTGCTGCGTATACTGTGCTACACTACTGTACTGTTTGTGACGGTGTATCTGCTGCCGCGCCATGTAGGTCGTATTAATGGGTTCGAAACGTTCGATGAGGTCTGCCCAAACTGGTGCCACGTTTTCTCCCCGCGGGCCACGTCAGTGTAGTAAATCCACTCTAATGCCGGTCCATGTAACAGTGTTGCTGCGAGCCGAATCCGTGCTGCGTCGTATTGCGGGGTCGAACAGCCAATGGCCTCGAAATAAATTTCGAGGGTCGCCACGAATCGTCGAACGTCAGATCCTTTCACGCTGGGATCGAACGCTTCGGAGAGCCTTGGGCGTGCTGCTTCGAGGTTCGGCGACATTGGTGCCATCGGTCCGTGAAATGTCGGTGTCGCCACTGCTACTGGTGTTGTCGAAGCTACGTTCGCTGCTGCTGCGGTGGCGGCTCCTGGTTGGTGTGTCAGAAGGGCCTCAAGTCGTCGGATCTCCGCCTGCGTCTGCTCCATGTCGGTGCGCAGGCTTGCGATGTCGCTCGTCGTCACGTAATTGTCGCCTTGGCCCTCCATGCCTGACATTGCGCGTTCGAAAAAACCGAAACGAGGGGGAGCGAAAAACACGGAACCGGTTTTACGTACCCGAAATCGGTGTTTAACAAGCGTCGCCCCGGCAGTTTTTGAAGACTCGGTTTTAGCGGTCGAAGAACTTTCGCGCGTAAACGGGCTCAAATTACCAAGTGTGAGGATCTAGGATCGAGCTCAAAAAAGAGAGTTTGAATTGAATGATCACCTGGGTACAACGCGAGGCTATATATAGGCTCGACACAAGGCCCAGTAACCAGGTGTTACACGAAGGTTCTGCGGGTCGCGAAGCGTCCCGAACAGATCCTTCCCGAATTCGGTAGAAGGCAATTTGGTGGCAACCGAAAAGCCCAGAATTCGGTGCACGCAACCTCACTCGGTGCTATAACTATAATAAAATATAGGAAAGCACCTAGCCTAGGAAACCAAGCAATTCATGCATGCATATAATTATCATATGCTAGAAATAGCATAATAAAGTTAAGGCAAGCAAGCATAGCAGGCATAAGCCGTCGTACTCTCATAGCCAGGTTCAGGCACACGAGACTCTGTGGGCGCACACTTCCGGTGACCTTCCTGAGCCCGCCGGGTTCAGGCACACGAGACTCTGTGGGCGCACACTTCCGGCGACCTTCCTGAGCCCGCTGACGTAAGCACTGTCAGAACATATATATATAGCTTATGCTGTTGTGTAGGCTATAGTGGGGTATCCCATAGGGGGTACAACCCAATTAGGGTTTCCTATATGTACTCACTTCATTCATAGTTCATTCATTCTTGTTCAAATCTTCTCATGGTATCGAGCAGGTTCCCCCTTGGGAACTGTGCTTAGGGCCCACCACATCGATTTTTTTTTTTCCTGCCCGAAGCGCGCTCAGCCCGAGTCGCGCTCCGGGCCCTCACTTCGTCGAGCCGCCCTAGCGGCCCTTCACTGCGGCCCCGCCACTCGTCTCAGCGGCCCCGCCGCCCGTCTTCGCGGCCCCGCCGCCTCTCTCCTAGCGGCCTCGCCGCCCTACCTAGCGGCTCCGCCGCCCTACCTCGCGGCCTCGCCGCCCTATTGCGCGGCCCCGCCGCCCTACCTAGCGGCCCCCCCCGCCCTTACTCGCGGCCTCGCCGCCCCATTGCGCGGCCCCGCCGCCCTACCTCGCGGCCTCGCCGCCCCATCGCGAAGCCCCGCCGCCCTACCTAGCGGCCCCGCCGCCCTTCCTCGCGGCCCCGCCGCCCCATCGCGCGGCCCCGCCGCCCTATCTAGCGGCCCCGCCGCCCTTCCTCGCGGCCCCGCCGCCCCATCGCGCGGCCCCGCCGCCCTTCCTCGCGGCCCCGCCGCCCCATCAGCGGCCCCGCCGCCCTATCAAGCGGCCCCGCCGCCCTTCTCTGCAGCGGCCCCGCCACTCCTCTACAGCGGCCGAGCCGCCCAGCAGCAGCGCAGCCGAGCCGCCCAGCAGCAGAGCAGCCGAGCCGCCCACCCGTCGAGCCGCCCTGCAGCCGAGCCGCCCGGAGCCGAGCCGCCCTGCCGCCGAGCCGCCCTGCCGCCGAGCCGCCCGGGAGCCGAGCCGCCGAGCCGCCCTGCCGCCGAGCCGCCCTGCCGTCGAGCCGCCCTGCCGCCGAGCCGCCCGGGAGCCGAGCCGCCCCGCAGCCGAGCCGCCGGGCCGCCCTACTGCCGAGCCGCCCGACCTGCCCTGCCTGGTGAGCACAGCACCACTGTTACTGCGTGCCCTTCCCCTACTGCTTGCACTACTACACTGTCGTCGTCATGGCTACCCCTAGTGTCCTCGCTTTTGACGCTGAGGGTCGAGCCATTGACTTTGAGGTCTGGGTCGACGACCTGCAGCTGTTCTTACAGTGCGATAGGGCGGACGGTCTTTCCCTCTTTGACCTCACCTCTGGCGCCTCTCCTGCCCCTGCTGCTGATGCTGACCCCACTGTTCGCTCTCAGTGGGCCACCCGCGATGCTGCTGCACGTCTTGCTGTGCGTCGCCACCTGCCTACCACTGAGCGCGCGCACTTTAGTCAGTACAAGAGTGCTCAGACCTTGTACGACGCTGTAGTTGCGCGCTACTCTTCCCCTGCCACTGCTGCCCTGAGCCGCCTCATGCTACCGTACCTCTTTCCTGACCTTGCTGCCTTTCCCACTGTCGCTGACCTCATTACGCACCTCCGCACTAGTGACACTCGCTACCGCGCCGCCCTTCCTGCTGAGTTCTGCGCCAAGAACCCCCCCCCCATGTACATCACTCTCTATTACATAGTCACACGCCTCCCTGACTCCCTTCGCGTAGTCAGGGACCACTTCCTCTCAGTCTGTCCCACCACTCTCACTGTCGACCTCCTCGAGAAGTCCCTCCTTGCGGCGGAGAAGAGCATCGTCGCTGTAGGAGCCTCTCGTGGTGACCCTCGCACCCCCATCTTTGAGGGGTGTTCTCCTTCCCCCCTGCTGCCCTCTGTTGCCTCTGCTGCTGCTGCCGACCTGCTTGGTCTTGAGTCGGTCTGCGCGGCGTCTGCCCCTAGCGGGAGACGCCGCCCTGGCAGGGGCAAGGGGGGCAAGGGCGCGGGTGGAACTGGCGGGGGCGGTGGAGGTGGCGGTGGAGGCGGCGGAGGGAGTGGGGGTGGCGGTGGGAGTGGTGGCGGGGGCGGTGGTGGCGGTGGCAGCAGCGGAGGAGGAGGCGGTGGTGGCGGCAGCGGTGGGAGCGGAGGCAGCGGTGGTGGTGGAGGTGGAGGCGGCGGTGGCGGAGGGGGTGGAGCTGGTCGGGGTGGTGCCCCGCAGCGTAGCGGCTCTGGTGGTGGCCAGCGTCAGCAGCAGCAGCAGCAGCAGCGTTCGCGGGACATCCCCCCGCCCCAGCAGCTCCGTGAGTGGTACACGCAGCGTCAGCGGGGTGGGGGTTTTGGTCCGTGCACCTACGTCCTTCGTTCCGGCGACCGCGCGGGTGAGCAGTGTGGGGGTGCCCACCCCACCCAGCGCTGCTTTGGCCGCCTGACGGACGCTTGGCGTCAGCAGTTCCCCGAGGCCAGTGAGATTCCCCGTTGGGGAGAGCTGTCTAGGGCTGGCGTAGCTATCTTTGATCTTGACTTTGATGCTATCCTTGCTGCCATGTATGCTGTGACTATTAGTGAGGAGGGTGACTGTTACCGGTGTTTCCCGCCCGACCCGGGCATTGGTACTGCTGCGCCAGGTACTTCTGCGGTTGCTGCTCTAGGTGCCAGTGCGTCTGCACTCTCAGGTACTGGTGAGGCTGCGCTCTCAGGTACTGCGTCGGCTTCGGCCTCCCTCACCTTCACGCTTGACTCAGGGGCTTCTCGCTCCTTCTTTCGAGACCGCACCACACTCACGCCGCTTGGCCGGCCGGTTGCAGTCTCCCTGGCTGACCCCTCTGGGGGTCCTGTCCTCTCTCACTTCTCCACTGTCCTCCCGTGTCCGGCTGCCCCCTCGGGCACCTTGTCTGGTCTGTACCTCCCCTCGTTCTCAACGAACTTGGTGAGTGGTGCTGACCTGCAGGATGCGGGGGTTCACCAGTTTACTCCTGCGAGTCAGCGGGTGACCCACTGCTCGGACGCCCGCACAGGCCGACACCTGGCCACGTTTTCGCGTCGGCCGGGGTCGAGTCTCTACACCCTGACCACTGAGTCTCCTCCTGTCCCTGCGTCTGGCCAGGTAGCTGCGTCGGGTCAGGTGTTTGCTGCTGCGTCCAGGTCTGGTCCTGAGTCTGCCCCCTGCTCGTGTCGCCGCCTGTCTCATGAGACTCTCCTGTGGCACCACCGTCTTGACCACCCCTCCTTGCCTCGTCTTCGGGGCATGGCTTCCCGTGTCCTTGTCTCTGGTCTTCCCCGGTCTCTCCCTCCCCTTCCTTCGGGACCCGGACCTTCCTGTGTCCCCTGTGTCGAGGGGCGGCTCCGGGCTGCCCCTCACTCCTCCCAGTTTCCCCCGACAGAGGCTCCTCTGCAGACGCTTCACATGGACGTGTGGGGCCCGGCCCGCGTCCGTGGGCAGGGTCACGAGCGCTACTTCCTGCTGGTGGTTGACGACTACTCGCGTTACACCACAGTCTTCCCCTTGCGCAGCAAGGGTGATGTCACTGAGGTGTTGATCGACTGGATCCGCGCAGCTCGTCTCCAGCTCAGGAGGAGCTTCGGCTCGGACTTTCCTGTTCTGCGTCTGCACTCTGACCGAGGTGGAGAGTTCTCCTCTGGCCTTCTGCGAGCCTACTGTCGTGCACGAGGCATCCGCCAGACCTTTACGCTTCCGGACTCTCCACAGCAAAATGGGATTGCTGAGCGCCGCATTGGCATGGTCATGGACGTCGCTCGTACGTCCATGATGCATGCGGCTGCCCCCCATTTTCTGTGGCCGTTTGCGGTTCGGTACGCGGCGCATCAGATCAACCTTCACCCCAGGGTCTCCCGGCCGGAGACCTCCCCAGCTCTGCTGTGGACGGGGAAGGTCGGCGATGCGTCTGCGTTCCGTGTCTGGGGATCTCGGGCGTTTGTCCGCGACTTGTCTGCGGACAAGCTGTCCCCTCGTGCTGCTCCCTGTGTCTTCCTCGGCTTCCCCCCTGACGCCCCAGGGTGGCAGTTCTACCACCCCTCCTCTCGTCGTGTTCTGTCCTCCCAGGACGTCACGTTCGACGAGTCAGTCCCCTTCTACCGCCTCTTCCCCTACCGCACTCCTTCCCTCCCCCCGCCACCGCACTTCCTTGTGCCAGGCCCCCCCCCGGTAGACCCCCTTCCCCCTCAGGGTCCTGCCCCTTCAGGTGTGTCCCAGGTAGACGCAGTCGAGCCGGTCGAGGTTGCTGGTGACTCTGGTCCTGCTGCGGGTACTGAGCCTGGGGGTGCTGACTCTGGGGGTGCTACGCGCGTGGGTGCTGAGCCTGGGGGTGCGGAGCCTGGGGGTGCTGAGTCTGGGGGTGCTGAGCCTGGGGATACTGCGACTGGGGGTGCTGAGCCTGGGGGTGCAGAGTCTGGGGGTGCTGAGCCTGGGGGTGCTGTGACTGGGGGTGCTGAGCCAGGGGGTGCTGCGTCTGGAGCTACTGAGCCTGGAGCTGCGGAGCCTGCGGCCACTGGACCTCCCCTTGTGGCGTCTGGCGGTGCGGGACCTGGCGGTTCTCCGGGTGCTTCGCCTCGGCGGGAGCCCCTCTCTCCACAGGAGCTGCGCGAGTGGTTTGCTCGCCGCTGGAGACGTACTGCTGGAGCTGGAGCTCCTTCGGCTGCTGAGGGTACTTGTGCCGCTGGTCCCGGAGCTGCTGGGCCCTCGGGTCCGCCTGGAGCTGGAGCTGCCGCGGGTGTTGGTGCTGAGACTGCTGCTGTCCTTCCTGGCGGTGGTCCTGCTGCGGGTACTGCTGGTGCTGCTGGAGGTACTGGAGCTGGAGGTGCTGTTGGCGCTGGTGCTGCTGCTGAGGGTGCTGTCCCTGCTGTGTCTGGAGTCGCCGCGCGGCCTCGGCCGTACTTCGTTCCACTCCTACAGCAGGTTCTTGGTCTTTCTCCTCCTGCAGCGTGTCCACAGCCTGTTCAGTCACAGTCCCAGTTAGAGCCCGCCTCCCCACTTCCTGCTCCCTCTCCTTACACTGGTCCCACTGGAGGTCTTGCTGAGCGTCGTGAGCCTGCGTCTCGTCCTGCGTCGCCTGTTCGTGCTGCTCGCGCTAGTGGTCGCGGTTCGCGTCAGCGTCCTCCTCCTGTCCCTGGCACACACCGGATGTCTTTGCGTCCGTCCACTGCTCCTCTGCGTGCCCCTTTGCCTTCTCCTCCTGAGTCCTCCCTTCCTGCACTTACCGACCCAGAGTCCGACTCTCTTCGTGCTGCTAGTCCTACTGTCACACGTCTCCTTGCTACTGTCGTCACTGACCCCTCTTTTGAGTCCACTGCTGCGTCTGCTCTTGTTGCTGAGCTCGTCGACTTTGCTGCTAGCTGACGTCTAGACTACGCTGCCGGTCTTGTTGCTGAGTCTGCGTCTGTCTGTCCTCCGTCCGTCGGGGGTGAGTGTGCTCTTGGCACGGACGTCCTTGAGGACAGGCAGGAGGAGTTCCAGTGTCTGGCTGCTGCTTCACCTCATCTCGCGTCCGTACTACTTGCCCCTGAGGGAGACCCGGATGCACTAGACATCCCGACTCCGCGCTCTTACGCGGAGGCCGTAGAGGGTCCCTACTCCTCTCAGTGGCAGGCAGCTATGGATGCAGAGATGGCGTCCTGGAAGTCCACAGGCACCTACGTTGACGCGGTTCCCCCTCCTGGGGCGAACATCGTCAGTGGCATGTGGATCTTCAGGGTGAAGCGGCCGCCGGGCTCTCCACCTGTCTTCAAGGCGCGGTACGTCGCTCGTGGCTTCAGTCAGCGGCAGGGAGTTGACTACTTTCAGACCTTCTCTCCCACCCCGAAGATGACCACTCTTCGGGTGCTGCTGCACATAGCCGCTCAGCGCGACTACGAGCTCCACTCTCTTGACTTCAGCACTGCTTTCTTGCAGGGTAGCCTGCACGAGGAGATCTGGCTGCGCCGTCCACCTGGCTTCACTGGGACTTTCCCTACTGGCACCCAGTGGAGCCTCCGACGGCCAGTCTACGGTCTCCGCCAGGCACCGCGTGAGTGGCACGACACACTGAGGACTACGCTTGCGGCTCTTGGGTTTGCTCCCTCTACGGCTGACCCGTCGTTGTTTCTGCGCACCGACACTTCTTTGCCGCCGTTCTACATCCTCGTGTACGTCGACGACTTGGTCTTTGCCACAGCTGACACTGCTGGACTCGCCCACGTGAAGTCCGAGCTGCAGAAGAGACACACGTGCACAGACCTGGGTGAACTGCGCAGCTACCTTGGCTTGCAGATCACTCGGGACAGAGCACGCCGCACCATTACCTTGACTCAGTCACACATGGTGCAGCAGGTCCTTCAGCGCTTCGGCTTCACGTACTCCTCGCCTCAGGCCACTCCTCTGTCTACTCGCCACTCGCTCTCAGCTCTGCCTTCGGATGAGTCCGTAGAGTCGAGTGGCCCGTACCCAGAGCTTGTTGGCTGCCTCATGTACCTGATGACCTGCACACGACCTGACCTTGCATACCCTCTTAGCATTCTTGCACGCTATGTTGCTCCTGGGAGACACCGACCAGAGCACATGGCTGCAGCGAAGAGGGTGTTGCGCTACTTGTGCAGTACGTCGGGCATGGGGCTAGTGCTTGGAGGGCGGAGTCCAGTGGTACTCACTGGACACGCGGACGCTTCTTGGGCTGACGACCAGGCTACGCAGCGGTCGTCGCAGGGTTACACCTTCAGTCTTGGTTCCGGCTCTGTCTCGTGGCGGGCTACTCGCTCGTCCTCTGTTCTCGGCTCCAGTTGTGAGGCTGAGATCTACGCCGGGGCCATGGCTGCACAGGAGCTTTGCTGGCTCACCTACCTGCTGACTGACCTTGGAGAGCCGCCTCGTTCTCCTCCAGTGCTGTACGTAGATAACAAGGCCATGCTGGCCTTGTGTCGAGAGCAGCGCTTGGAGCACAGAACGAAGCACATTGCTCTCCGTTACTTTCTTGCTCGTGAGCTGCAGCAGCGTGGTCAGTTGCGACTTGTGTACGTGGCCTGTGAGGCCAACACTGCTGATGTGTTCACCAAGGCACTTGCGCCTTGTGACCATCAGCGCTTCTGCACTCAGCTGGGTCTTGTACCTGTCTTGCCTCACTTGCTCTCCTCTTGACCTTGCTTGTACTGTCACATATATATACCTGCTCTTACTTGTCTAGCTCTATATATATATGTGCACTCCTGCATGTGAACTGGCCTTGTGGCCTTGTCGTTGTGCTCGGACTGTGTGGTGACTTTAAGATCCACCCTGAGCTTGCTGTGCTTTGCGTGACTGGTCTTGTGACCCCTTGTTCTCCCCCACTTTGCCTATGGGGGTGTGTCAGAACATATATATATAGCTTATGCTGTTGTGTAGGCTATAGTGGGGTATCCCATAGGGGGTACAACCCAATTAGGGTTTCCTATATGTACTCACTTCATTCATAGTTCATTCATTCTTGTTCAAATCTTCTCAAGCACGCTATGCACGAGTGCTAACGTGACCGTGTGGAAGTCGCGCGACGCTGCGGCCTGCATCGCCCTCAGCCGCCTCCTCCTTGAGTCTGAGGAGACCCACTTCGCTCAGGTTCGCACGGCTAGTGAGTTCCTGACTGCGATCAAGGCCCGCTACGCTACTCCCACCATTGTCTCTCTTGGTCGCCTGTTCCTTCCGTTCCTGTTTCCTGACCTCGCCTCGATTGAGTGCACTGCTGACTTGATCACTCATCTGCGCTCGCTCGATTCTAGCTACTGCGTTACTTGCACTGACGCACAGCTTGCACTGCTCCCTCCCCCCATGGCGATTACTATCTATTTCATCGCCACTAGCCTCCCTGACCGCTTTGCCTCGGTTCGTGACGCGCTTCTTCTGAAGCACCCTAGCGAGCTCACTATCGAGGTCCTTGAGTCGGCCCTCAAGGACGTTGAGAGCAACCTCCGCTCGGTAGCCTCTGCCTCTGGTCCTTGAGTCGGCCCTCCACTGTTTCACGGCTGCACTGTCCCTCAGCTGCCCACCTTTACTGCCTCCCTCGCCACTACAGCTACTTACGTGACCGCAACTACTGTTACGACTTCTTCACGGGTTAGAGGTAGGGGCGGCATGAGGGGCGGTCACGGTGCGGGCGGATTCGGCGAAGGCGGTGGGGGTGACGTGGTGAGCGGCGGCGGCGGGAGTGCAGGGGTTGGAGGAGCGCCTCGTGCAGGCCGGTGACTCCCCTACTGTAGCTGGTGGAGGTGACGCCCGGGTTCGTCAGCCACCTACTGGTCTGCCAGCCACAGGGGGTGGAGCAGCAGCGTGGTACCTGACTTAGTGACAGCAGCATCCGCAGCAGCCCCTCCCCTCACAGCAGCCACAGCCGCAGCAGCGGCAGTAGCAGGTTTCGGGGCAGGGTTCAGGACATCGTCAGCTGCAGCGCGGTGTTGTCCACCCTCCCTGCACCTACCAGGTGCCCGCCGCGGCCAGCCTTGTGGCCGCAGCCACCCACCAGGTCAGTGCTTTGCTCAGCTTACTAACACGGTTCGGTTGGCCTACGGCATTGACGGCCCTGCCTCTGACTGACTTCCCTTTGTTCAGACGTACGACCCCACTCTGTGGGTCATGTCGGCTTCTCAGTTGGTTGATCCCTTATGTACTCCTCATGCTACGTATGCTGTTGTTGACTCTAGTGCTTCTGACTCTCTTTACTTGAGTGTCGTTAGCTTAGGTGTTAGTCTTGCTGAGGTGCCTGTTGCTAGTGTAGGTACTTGTGTAGACACCAGTCCAGGAGCTGCTCCCGATGACGCTTCGCTGTCTTTCATTCTGGACTCAGAAGCTTCGCACCGTTTCTTCCACGACCGTACGGCACTTACCCCGCTTCCTACGCCGGTCTCTGTAGCACTGGCTGATCCCACTTCGGGACCAGTCACTGCTCGCTATACTACTACGCTTCCGTGCCCGGCTGTTCCCTCCGGTTCTCTGACCGGCTTCCACGTCCCCTCGTTCTTGAGGAACTTGGTGGGCGTGAGGCCGCTCGTGAGTCAGCACGTGGGTGTGTGAATTGATCCTTCTGGCGAGACTGCGTTTTGTGTCGACGGGGACACGTACGCACCTCTCGCCACCTTTACCGCTGAGCCGGGCTCTGGTCTCTACACACTTCACACTGGGCCCCGAGGGCAACAGCAGCAGCAGGAGTAGCAGCAGCACCTACTGCCCCCGATCCCTGTCACTGCCCCACGTCAGGTTCCCGGACCCACCAGGTTGTTGCGTCTCCCCCGATAGCTGTGTCTAATCAAGTTCCAGTGTCTAGTCCAGTTGCTGCGTCATGCTCCTGCCAGTCGCTTGCCCACCCTAATGTTTTGTGGCACCACCGGATGGGGCACCCGTCCATTTCTCGCCTGCGCGCTATGTCTAGTCAGCGTCTTGTCTTGGGCCTCCCACGAGTCTTCCAGTCGTTGCCGCCTTCGCTTGCGCCACCCTGCGGTCCATGCGTCGAGGGTTGGCTGCGCGCCACCCCTCACTCCTCCCCCCTTCGTCCGGCTACCAAGCCCTTCGAGACTCTCCACTTGGACGTCTGGGGCCCCGCCTCGCGCCCTGGCTCTGAGCGAGAGAGTTTCGTTCTCTTGGTCGTTGACGACTACTCCCGCTACACCACAGTGTTCCCCCTGGCGAAGAAGTCTGACGTGACTTCTACGCTGATACGGTGGTTGCTTACCACTGCGGACATTCGTGGTCGTCGTGTCAGCTGTCTTCACTCCGACCGCGGGGGTGAGTGTCGCTCTGGCGTTCTTGCTGGATTCTGTCGTGAGGAGGGCATCCGTTAGTCCTGGACGCTTCCAGGGTCCCCACAGCAGAATGGGGTTGCTGACCGCCGCATAGGCTTGGTCATGGAGATCGCCCGCACCTCCATGACCCACGCCCGTGCCCCCCCATTTTCTGTGGTCCTATGCGGTTCGGTACGCCGCTCACCAGCTGAACCTCTGGCCACGTGTCTCTCGGCCAGAGGTTTCACCGACCAGTCTTTGGACCGGGTCCCCTAGTGCTGCGTTGCGTTTTTGTGTCTGGGGTTGCTTGGCACTTGTTCGCGACACCACTGCGGACAAGATCTCGCCTCGCGCTATTCCTGCCTTTTTCTTGGTTTCCGTGAGGACTCCTCGGACTACACCTTCTTACACCCTCCCCTTCACCGGTTCTTTGACTCTCGTGACGTCCGTTTCGACGAGTCCGTACCCTACTACGTCAGGTACCCCTGTCGAGGTCTCCCGGTTCCTCCTCCCCCTCTCTTCTTGACTTCAGCTCCCCCTCCTACTCCCCCAATACAGCCCTCCCCCCCTGGTCCCGCCCCGTCAAGTGTGTCCCACGCTACCCCTCAGGTGCAGCCTCCTTTC